CGGGGGAGGAGCCACCGCCTCGCTCTCCCCTTTTGCAGCGTTTCTTCTCGGTCCCTTCATTTTCGTTGAACAGGTTATTTTTGGTAATAGCGGAGAATGTGATAACAGACTGAATCACCTACATATTTCATTGACCCCGAAGTTCCTCCAACATTAATTGCGCAGGAGCATAACGTGTTGTAATAAAAGGACATAAGCCACTAAGTCTGTGTTTATCTAGTCACAACATGGTTAGCAGCCTTTATTGGTTCTCTCTGTTCCTGTCATTTTTTAAGTCACTTGGAACCAAATAGCTCATGATTTCTCCTCCTCAAGGGAAATACCTTATTCCAGGGTTTTTTTGCTCCCATTTAAACATTGATTCCATTTAAATGCCGAATGCCGTGTGGTACTAAGTGGTGACAAATGATAGTTTCTGTCCCGGGGATTCCAAGTTCGTGGGTGAGAAAGGTATGCAAGGTACGCATAGTGCAGCGTGATTCGGACACTTCCCTGGAACCCAGCAAGGTGTCCGTGAATGTCACAGAAGTGACCTGATGGGGCACAGCACCGAGCGCGGGAAAGGCTCCCTCCTCCTGTCCTGTTGTCGCCCCGAGCCGAGCAAGGATGCGCGTGTGAACCAGCCCCTACCTGCAGGAGGACCATGGGAAATTCCACTGCAGGAGAAAATCGTTGCGAAGGGTGACTCAGCGTAAATATCCTCAGCGCTCAAGGAAAGAGAACTGCTATCAGACGATGTGTTGAGGGCCCGCTCCGCTTTCCTGCTTCAGTCCTTTGTCCTCGGGGCCATCTCTCTGTCACCCTTAGTGAAGGACATTTCCTAACTGCTCCCGAATTCTGATGCCTTTACCATGTGAGAAACTCAGCCGCCTAAACACTGATCCTCACCTGTCTTATGTTACTGAGCCCAGGCTTGTACTCTTGGCTGCGTGACACCCCAATAAATCCAAGGTCAAGTTGCTGGGGCAATGACTCATGTCTTTGTTCAGAAAGCCAGCTCACTTGAGAAGATGGTGGACTAGTGGCCAAAAGAACCGTTGTACAGGAGTTAGAATTCAGGCTTCTTTTACACGAAAAGAGGGATGGGGGGGTTGTGTGTATTTGTTGCAAACTTCTTAGGGTTGGAATCCTTTGTTCTTGAAGCTGTCCACCTGGCTCAGGTCATGATGTTCCTGTAGACCTCCAACAAGACAGATGTTATTCTCTGTTCTGCAGCTTTGTATCTCTATGAATGGAAAAGCGTTATACCTTTAATGGTGGAAGCCTTGAGAATGGGCTGCACTGTGCATTTCAGGCTGCAGGCAGCGTTCTTAACTTGTAGCAAAAGCAATGGAATACAAAGGTTAAAGTAACAAAAAAAAATAGATCCAACATTGTTCTTTCATATGGCACTTAGGAGCCATCCCGCTCCCATCTCAGGGACTTTACCGGACAAAATAACACACAGCACATTTTCCCCAAAGCCTGAGTTATTTAGATCGTTACACACATGGAGGTGTGACAGAAACCGCCACTTCAGGCTTTGCTACGTTAAGCCTGGTGACCTTTGATCTCTCTCTACCCCTTGTTGACTAAAAAAAAAATGCACGACTTAAAAGTGGAGAGTTATGTTTTATTGGCGGCCTTCCTGAGGACTACGGCCTGGGAGGGCAGCCTCTCAGATTGCTCTGAGAAACTGTTTCAAAGAGGTAAAGAAGGAGTCAGGATAATCAGGTGCTTTTGCTGGAAAAAAAACAAAAACAAAAAACTGTAGTTGAATATCAAAACATCATGCTAATCACACATATAGAGCCCCCAGAGACGTGCAAGTTGATCATTTTTGTGGCCTTTCTGTGTAGTGAAGATGCCCCTCGACGTTATCCTTTGATCTGCATCTTCGCTACCCAAGGCCAGTGTCCGGTTTTTCTGCATGAATTCCCCCCAGGGCGCTCCGCTGGGGTTGGCTGCAGTGCAGTGGACTAAGGCCTTGATGGTGGGCACGAATGGCTGCTTACTGAATGGCAGGCAGCATTATGTCCACAGCTGGTGCGAGGTTAAGACAGGTTTTCTCATTCTTGTTTAAAATCTGGTGGATAGCTGTGGACGACTCTGGCAAGCACAGAAACATGCTTGAAAGACAATCCATATTTTCAAATGGCCCTTCCTTATGCAGATTATTTTGGTTTTGAAAATAGTCATTCTTTATAAAAGTATGTTTATCTAGAACATATAATTTATGTTAATATGTTGATAGTAAGTATTTAAAATTTTTTCATTTTAATTTCTAATTTGGTACATATTGATAGATATGGCCCAGACAAAATTTCTCTTGGGTCCTCAGTAATTGTTAAGAATGTAATGTGGTTCTGAGACCCCAAATTTGAGAACTACTGCCTTCAGCAAGCTGTTCCGTCAGCCATGTTCTTTGAAAGTCTATGAGTCAAAATGTGTAACTTCATACCATTCCGTACTCACTTTCAACACGGGATCAAAATCCATCATGATGTCTCGTTTGATTTCTAGATCTCTAGGGGAATCAGTGAGAGGATTTAAGTTGTGCTAGGCTAACACATAGGTGAGATTTCTGCTCCCAGAAGTTGGTTAGATCACAGGAAAGACTGAGAAGGAGCAAGAGAGGGGCAAGGGTGTAGCTCAGTGTCAGAGCATGTGCTTAGCAGGCACGAGGCCCTGAGTTCAATCCCCAGCACCGCCTCTAAAAATAAATAAACCTAATTACTCCCTCCCACAGACAAAATAAAACAATTAAATAATACAATAATTATTAAAGTTTTTAAATAAATACAAAATTTTTTAAAAGGAGCAGGAGACATCAGTGAAGTCATAGCTCTGCAGGGCTCCCCAGGGCCCCCCACCTCTCAGGCAGGCCACCCCCCAAACTCCCAGCCCTCCGAGGAACACGAGTCCAGGGCCTAAGGAGGAATGAGGACCCAAACCTGCAACATGGCACTGTGAATCCATGGTAACTGGCCGTCTCCCGGGAGTCCGAGGGCAGTGGCCGTGGTGAAGTCACCATCTCCGATGTGTCCTGCCTGAATGTGTGTCTGTGGGACAGCCCGCCTCTACTGTCCTTCCTGAACCGCCTCTGGACAAAGGCCACACCACCAGCAGAAGGCTCCCAGCACCAGCTCATCTGGAGTGCCCCCAAACGTAAGGGACAGAAAGGGTGACTCGGACAGGAGATCTCTGCTGGGGCTCAGCCGTCTCCAAGGTCTGGGGTCACTCAGGCAGTCAGTTTGCAAGGAATTTGTCTTCCGTTACCTTTTGAGGGCAAGGCGCAACCACCTGCCCAGGGACAAAACCTCAGTGGATTGCAGACTTGGTGGAATTCCAAAAACAATGCGGGGAGGGGGCTCATCCCTGGCTCAACCCTGACGGGCACCGTTAAAGAGAATGCGGTCACACTGAAGGAAGAAGGGGCTTCACGGAGAACCATGCACCTCCCCGCCCTCACCGCAGATCAGGCACAGCCTGTGGGGCGGCAGAGGCGGCCCGGGGCCCTGCGAAGTGGACACGGCCCTGGAGGAGCAGACTTCTCCATGAACACAGGAGACACACTCTGAAATATCCGCAAATCTTCCGCCAGGCAGAGAAGTGGGTTGCAGGTAATGACAGTGAAATGGGACTTACTACTGTTCATGAGAATGCCTTCATAATCTAGGGTGTCTGGCCTACCTGGTACACAGAGCAGGGGCAGAGATGCGATTTTCCCAGGAAAAAATACAGTATTTTTCACTCATGAGTATTACATGATACCTTTTCTACTTGGATGCTCTGTCTCCACCTTGTTAATTTTTCTTTACCTCTTCTCCGTGCAAAGAAACAGGCCTTTCCTGATGCAAACAGGACTTCCCCGGGACAGCCTTCCTGTTCATACAGAAAGAGCTGACTTGCTGGCTAGTTAACAGCTGACCTCCTTAGCAGACAATGGCATGGAAAGTTCCCCCTCCTGCTCTGCATCATGTGCTGTATGAACTGCCCAGAATCGTCAAGTCTATGAAGACAGGAACTAGACGAGTGATTTTGAGACAGGAGGAAAGAGGGCATGGAAGTACCACGAAAAGACTATCACAGGAACCAGCCCTCCAGGTTCCTGGGGTTGACAGGACTCAGCCAGGCAGTGCTCCCTGGGACTCTGTCACATGGTCACAGTCAGACGGGGGCTGGGGCTGGAGTCCCCTCTAAACTGCCCCTCACACGGGCCACCAGCTGGACCTCGTATGGGGCGGAA